CACTTGGTCCAGCAGGAATATTATACGTTGAGTTATCCGCAGTTCCTGGTAAAGGTGTTTGAATTGGAGTTTGCAGCGGAGTCTGCACATTCAAAAACTCGTATCAACAATCCAACATTTTTAAAGAACATTAAAAGGATATATCAGCTGACGAATTTAAAACTATGGTTGGGGTCAAAACTCACAGGGGGGAAAAGTATTTCCGCTGTAGGAGTCTCATACTCCTCGGTCCCCTCATATGGCACGTTGAGATCATGAACCGGAGTAATTGGGCCACCCGGAGTTGGCTTAGCAGCAGTGGATCTTTCTATGGGACCGAACACAGCACCAGCTTGCATCATCTTTGATTCCCACATCTAAGCAAATTACCCAAAAGAAGAAAAAAATGAACATCTGAATCACCAGAGATAAAAAAAAAGGATTTATAAAAAAGAAAGGCATAAACAAAACGGAAACCCTACAAGACAACCGATCAGATCCAAACCCTGATTGAACCAAACAGCCAAGAGAGACAAATCCATCTAAAGTAAATCAATAGAGGTCGCAATAGAAGTAGAAATATCAAAGAATCTCATATATCTATTTATTTATATATATATAAAAAAATAAAAAATAAAAAGAGGAAATGATGGACGAATGAAAGTAGAAGAGAGGAAAGAAGATATCTTACAGCTTGAAGCTCTCTGAGAACTTCCTCACCGGGACCAGCGTTGTTGACGAACTCGTCGCGGACCTTGACCATGACATCCTCGATTACATCGATGTAGACCTGGCTGGTGGTCGAAGCCGCCATGTGGAATGATAATTAAGCAGCGGTGGGTTGGATTTGAAGGAAGAGAGGGAATTGTGAGGGTAGGGTTTGGGTTTGGGGGTGAGGGGTGAGGAGTGAGAGCTGAGTGATACGGCGAAGAGAGAGAGACTAAAGAGAGGAATATAAATAGGTTTGCATCCAATTTTAAACCACACTGTCAATATCCGCTTCTTCCTCATCTTTCCAAATTCCCCAATTTAACCAAAAAAATAATTCAATTATCAACTTGTCAAAGCCCACACTAATATTATTATTAAGAAAAAAAACATAACACTCAATTAGACAAAATATTTATCCAAGATAGAAATAGAGGGAGGAGATGAAAATTGGTAAGAAATAGAGGGGGAGTTCAACTTGTTTAGTTGAAGGAAAATATAAGAGAAAATGAAATTTTAGCTAATATATATTAAATTAAATAAAAATCAAATTGATAAATTTAAATATTTTATTTATTTTTATTGAAAACAATAATTATTTTTTATTATTCTTATATTTTAAATTATTTATTTTAAAAATAAAGAAGTATATATTTAATCCCAATCAACTATATTTCTATTGAGTTTTGTCTTTAAGTCTTAGATAAAATGTTCTTTTAATAGGTTCTTTCATGTAATTAAATATATATTAATTAGATAAAATAAATTATATATATATATATATATATATTAATTAGGTAGTAAGAAAATCACTCTACTATTTCTACAATATTTTCGATCTATATCAATTTAAATCCGGTTGACAATGACCTTTTTAACCTATGATCTTGGTGGGTTATTTGTTCAGTTACATGACTTCTATTTCATTAGTCTTAAGAGTAGTTTGTTCAATATTTATAGATATCTGTGTCATTAATATATATGTTGTGTTTTGTCTTATAATTTCCGTTTAGTCTAATGAATTTTTCTCCCAATCTTATAGATAATTCGGTCTAATTAACTTATAGATAACTTATTTATAATATTAAATAAAATAAAACATAAATTAAATTATGTAACTAAGAAAAGAAGAGAAATCAAAAGTGAGAGTTTTAATTCCATTAAATTTTCATTTTCTTTTAAAAAATTTGGCCCGGATTTTAATAAATTAAAGAAGTTAAATGATTTTAAAATTTTAAAATTTAAAAATTAGTGAAATTTTAGAAGATTGAAAAGTAAATAGTATATTATAGAGTTGAAAGAAAAAAAAAATAGTTTTTTTTTCTCTCTCTTTTGAGTTAAATGTTATATTTTGGTTGGTTGTAATTAGAAAAAGGTTTGAAATAATTTAATAAATTCAATTTAAGATGCTTTTGACAGGAGAAATAAGAATTCAAGTGTTTTCTATAAGAGAAAATTGATCCAGGAATTAAATTAACTTATTTTTAAAAATAGAAAAACTTAATTAGATGAGAAAAATGAAAACTAAAATTTATACTAACATATAAAGAAAATATCACTTTCAATAATTATTTTTTTTTCCATTTTTACATGGATCATTTTATTCTTTATTTATTTTTCATAATTCTCTAAGAGAGTAATTTCTCATTCTTTTTATATTTTTTTTTACTCTAAAACTACTATAATTATTTATAAAAATAATTATTTTTTTAATATAATGCAGACACAGTGCCTTTTTCGTATTAATTTTCTATAAACTAAATCATGCAAAAATAACAACGACGATTAATATTTTTTTAATTATCAGTACTAACAAACTAATTAAACCTAAGAAATGTTATCTATCATAAATTTAAATATTGATTTTATATAACTTGTACGAAATGCTATCAACAATAAAAATAAATATTAATGTACTTTCTACAATTTCATGTTAATTTTGATACATATATGTAAATTTTATTTTCATAAATTATAAAATTTGATTATCCCTTTGAATTAAATTTTATTTAAATCGTAATACATTTTTCATGAACAAAATAAAAAATAATAAACCAATGAAGATAAATAGTACAATATGTCAAACCGCATAGACGAAAAAGAATACCAATAGTCAATAGATAATAGAAACTAGAAAGTACAATCCAACACATTAATCATGCAAGTCAGGGATTATTTACATTAACTATTAAGAAAATATTATACAATGTCTACTTTTAATATTCAATCCATTTTTTCATGGTTCAACAGTGAGATAATCCAAGTTTTGAACAGTAGACTAGCTAGTTTGATAACATGCAAATCATCTATCAAGATATGAATTTTGAATTGTATTATATAGTTGCATCTTTTCACATTTCAATCATTTTTCCCCTTGTATTACATTTTCTCTCAATTAGGGACAAGAAAGGCATACCATGGTAGTATTTTGTTTTATATATTAATTTAAAGTGAATGTAACAAACATTTTTTCAAACAAAGTGATCCTAATCTATTCATTTTTATCATTGCATATTGGTATTGTTTACATAATTTGTTAATGTAATTCAATCTATGAGGGGTTCTTTGTTACATTAACCGTTATGCATACATCTTCTACGCATGCATTCCAATTACATGATTTTTGTGTTGTCCTTGCTGTTTATTACAAGTTTTATCATTTTTTTCTACCCAACCAAAAAGGACTCTTACAAGTGGTGCATGCACAATTAATGAAGTGCATGTTGCACATATACATGATATTTCAAAAAGAAATAGTCCCACGTTGCTTGGTCCACCTAAATGTAGAGCCTTTATATATTAAAGTGCTCCTTACACTTCTAAAGAGATAAGCAATTGGTAGTGGGCTTGTGCACGTGACAATGAGCCTTGTGAGCCCTCATGAAATACATATCTTATAATTACTCAAAATGGTTAGCTATAATTGTTTTTTTTTGTCCTTAATTAATGTAGATTCACATATGACCATCTATTTACGCCATGAGTTCTTCATTGTATTTTCAAGGGCCTATTTAGTAGTAAGAATGTTTTTGAACTCTATTTAATACCAATTCACATGCATTTGACTTGATATTTCTTCTTGTTGAATTGGTGTACAATAATAAGCATCGACCATGGTTTGTACATTTGCAGAAGTCTCAGATAAACCTGCTACCAAAGCATTTTCTTTGGTGATGGTACAAAATAGAAAAGAGAGGGAGTGACTTCTATGTGACTCTGGTGAGTTGTGAGTAAAGTGGGATGCGTGGAAGTAAAAAAAAAATACATATTATTAAGTCTAAAATATGTAATAAGTACTTTTTTATATTATTGAATGTCTTTTAATATAAATATGTTTTAAATTAAAAAATATATAACAAAAATATTTAAACCACTTTAATCATATTTTTACTTTCTATACATAATGTAATTTTAATTCTTATATTTTAAGAATGTAGTTTAAATTTCTATAATTTAAAGTAATGTAAATAATAATTTAATAAAATTTAATGGAATTACTCATACTTTTACAAATTATAGATTACTCTAAATTATATACATATAACTAATAATTACATAATTTATGTTTATATTGAAGTATTTATGTTTTGAGACACTTAAATATATCTAAATTTATTAAATATATTAATGGTTACTAATTTAATTCTATTTTAATTTCTATTACTTTGGTTATTTTATAATGATGAAAAATATTATTTATAGATTATTATAAATTATATGATGATACACAACATTTGAATTATTACGTATAAACTTGTGAAATAATCAATTACATTATGATGATTACACTCCATAGAATCCACCATATGATCATGAAAACTTTATTGTGACCGTAATTTTAGGCAATATATATGTGTGTATTTGACTTCCTTTTGTTCGTAGATAATATAGATTCCTCTCTTTAACATCTATAAATACTCATTTTTTTCCACTTCATAACAACCCTGCTTTGAACAATAAGATAAGACTGGCCATTTCTAGTTCGTTTGTGCGTGTATTTGACTTCCTTTTATTTGTAGATAGTATAGATTCACAACTTAACACCTATAAATACTCATTTTTTGCCACTTCATAACAATCCTCATTTCAACAATAAGATTGACCATTTATAGTTGTTGATATTATTTCTTGTTCTTGCAATAAACAAACACCTCACTTGTTTCTGTAACTTTCATGAAAATGAGTAAAGATAAAAAAGATTCACATAATATCTCCCCAACAAGCACCTCCCCCTCCAATGTAAGTTCTCTCCCACTTCTCGTCTTCAATGATAGTCAAAAATGTTTTAGGTAGAATCAATCTTGATCTTTACATCACCACGAAAGAAAACCCAATATTTCACCATCCTCAAATTACTATTCTATTTTTTGTGTTAAACTCATTTGTTGTTATGGTAATGCAAGTTTCTTATACTTTTTTGTGTCTTTTTCCTTACATAAACATCTTTAATCATATTTACATTGACTTTGCACAGGTTGAGAAAGAACGTATTAATATTATTGAACTCGAGAATAATGTTGGTATGTATGGTTATCGTTTAGAGGTTTTTCTAATTGCTTATTTTGACTTTGTATGGAGTTTTTGGGTCAAATGATTTTCTAACAGACTAGTTTGATAAGTGCAAGATATCCTATCAAGATATGAATTTTGAATTGCATTATATAGTTGCTTCTTTTTTCCATTTCAATCATGTTCCCCCCTGTGTTACATTTTCTCTCAATTAGGGACAAGAAAGGCATACCATGGCAATATTTCTTTTTATTAATTTAAAGCGCATGTAACATACATTTTTTCAAACGAAGTAGTCCTAATCTTTTCATTTTTATCATTGTGGCTTGGTATTGTTTGACATAATTTGTTAATGTACTTCAATCTGTGAGGGGTTCTTTGTTACATGAACTGTTATGCATTCATCTTCCACGCATGCATTCCAATTACGTGATTTTCGTGTTGTCCTTGTTTATTACAAGTTTTAATATTTTTTTCTACCCAACAAAAAAAGACTCTTACAAGTGGTGCATGCACAATTAATGTATTGCTTTGCAAATTACAATGACTCAGCTATTGAAGAAAGATTAATTAAGTGTTGTACACTTGTACTTATCATATGACAGGTGTTAAATCTGATTCTGGGAGCACATCTGATAATCTAATTGAGCCACCCATTATTCACGCTACCTCACCAGGTGCTAATAGTGAAGTTAAGGAACATGGTTATGATGAAATAAATGTTGACGAGGCTACAAAGGACGACAATATTGTTGAAGTAAAAGAAAAAGATGATATTGGATCTCCAGACTCTAATGACACTGTGATCGTTGATATTATTGGTCTTAGTGATGATGAGGTGGATAATAGACTTACTGCTGCAAAAGTTCAAATACCCCAAAATAGTGCAGAGGGGAAGAATGAACAAACATCTACATTTGATGACAGTGGTAGTGGCAATGAAAGAAAAAATTCAAGTGAAAGTAATAAAAGAAAACATGGAAATGGAAGTAGCGAGAGCAGTGACAGTGATAGTAATCAAAGCAAAAACTCAAGTGAAAGTAATAAAAGAAAAAATCAAAGTGGAAGTAGCAGGAGCGGTAGCAGTGACAGTGAATCCAATAATGAAGAGTTGATTAACAAAAATTGAATATGCATATCTGTGGTTTTTCTTTTCCTTTGCTTTTATTTTTGCAAAAGTCAAATAAATTCATTAGTGTGATTAGTCATTTTTACTTGGTAGAATGTAACAAGCCATGATTCTAATGGTTGGGAATTTTGTTAACAGTGACACACTCTGAGTTTGTTGAAGGTTATAAATGATTAGTCAATTTGTTGTGTTCACATAATCATCTTTAATTTTTCTTTGTCATTAAAACATGTATACGACTTGTAGTTTTACTTAGTTTTTAATCTTTCAAATTTCATTAGACCTTACATATTAGTGCAGGAGGATCTTTGAGCACAGTTTTGTACATTGAAGAAACGTGAAGCAAAATATGAGGGATATCATGTATAGGAACTTGATTTTACTAAAACACCATTTGATGAATGATCACTTTTTTGTTAGAGTATTATTGATGTCTTGTGAGTCTTCAAGTTCTGCTCATGAAAACTTTTGTATAATCTATATTAAATTTGTAATTGGCTTAATGATACAAAGCATGTCACAAGTCCATTATACAAGCACTTGCACTTCTTTGGTGTTTTATGTTGTCCTTGAATCTTAATAGCATATCCATGCTTTTCAAATTTGTAAAATATAATGGTGGAAGCATACTATCTTTCAACTATTAGTTGATAATTACTACCTGCATGTTCCTCTCATGAAATACACATCTTATAATTATGAGGAATGGTCAGTTATAACTGTTTTTTTGTCTTTAATTAATGTAATTCACATATGCCCATCTATTTACGCCATGAATTCTTCATTGTATTTTCAAGGGCCTATTTAGTAGTAAGGATGTTTTTGAACTCTATTTAATACCAATTCACATGCATTTGACTTGATATTTCTTCTTGTTGAATTGGTGTACAATAATAAGCATCGACCTTGGTTTGTACATTTGCAGAAGTCTCAGGTAAAGTCGCTACCGAAACATTTTCTTTGGTGATGGTACAAATAAAAAAAAGAGAGGGAGTGGCTTCTATGTGACTCTAGTGAGTCGTGAGTGAAGTGGGGCGCATGAAAGTCAGAAAAATACGTATTATTGAGTCTAAAAGATGTAGTAAGTACTTTTTTTTATATTATTGAATGTCTTTTAATATAAATATGCTTTAAATTAAAAAAATTTATAACAAAAATGTTTTAAACCACTTTAATCATATTTTTGGTTTCTATACATAATGTAATTTTAATTCTTATGTTTTAATAATGTAGTTTAAATTTCTACAATTTAAAGTAATGGAAATAATAATTTATTAAATTTAATGGAATTACTCATACTTTTACAAATCATAGATTACTCTAAATTATATACATATAATTAATAATTACATAATTTATGTTAGATTGAAGTATTTATGTTTTGAGACACTTAAACATATATAATTTTATTAAACATATTAATGGTTACAAATTTAATTCTATTTTAATTTCTATTACTTTGACTATTTTATAATGATGAAAAATATTATTTATAGATTATTATAAATTATATAATGATACACAACATTTGAATATTATTATGTATAAGCTTGTGAGGTAATCAATTATATTATGATGACTCTCCACAGAATCTATAATGTGATAATGAAAACTTTATCGTGATTGTAATTTATATATATATATATATATATATATATATATATATATTATAAAAGTTATGTTAAAAAAACCTTTATATATATATATATATATATGTTGAAGATCAGCGCATATCAATCAGAATCTGTTGGAGATCAGCATATATCAATCAGAATATTCAATTCTGATTTGTACAGATTTAATGTTAATAAGATCAATTTTATTTCCCTTCCTTTAATTATTTAGATACAGTATTTATAGAGAGAATTATTTCCCAGATTTTTAGGGATAAATTAGTGTGCAGATTTATCCCCTTGTATTCTATTTATACCACTTTTGTATTTTTCCCAAATAAGAGAAATATACATTATATTTTTTCGCATGGTATCAGAGCACGATCTGAACCATCCCTAACCTAGCACCGCCAACCATGGGAGAGAACAAGGCAGAAGGTTCGGCCACTAGTTTGGTGAAAGGGCCTGCTCTTCCTATCATTGGTCACAAATTGAATGGCCAGAACTACCTTCAATGGGTGCGATCAGTTAAGATCTTTATTCAAGGAAAAGGGAAGGAAGGTTACATCACAGGAGACTCCAAGAGTCCAGAAAAGGGTGACCCTAATCTCAACAAATGACAACTGGAAAACAGTTTAGTCATGTCATGGTTGCTCAACACCATGACTAATGAAATTGGGGAAAATTTCATGTACTATGATACTGCCAAGGAGATGTGCGATGCAATGAAGAAAACCTACTCAAATGTGGACAATACGTCTGCAGTATTTGAGATCAAGAGCATACTCCATGACCTGCGACAAGGTGATTTCTCAGTCACTGAGTATTTTAATACACTCAGTCGACATTGGCAGCAACTGGACATATATGAAGATGTTCAATGGAGCTGTACCGAGGATAAAAAGAAGTATAAAGAATTGGTGGAGAAAGATAGGATCTACAAGTTTCTATTGGGGCTAAACACAGAACTTGATGAAGTCCGGGGAAGAATCCTTGGAACCAAACCTCTTAAAACAATCCGAGAAGTATTTTCAGAAGTGAGAAGAGAGGAGAGTAGGAGGAAAGTGATGCTTGGAAAGTCAAGTGCAGTCCCATCCATTGAAGGCTCAGCAATGGCAACAAGGGGGAACTAGCCTCGTACATCTCAAAAGAAAAATCGGCCTGGTGTGATCATTGCAAGAAATTGGGTTACACTAAGGACAACTGTTGGATCATTCATGGAAGACCTTTAGAGGCAAAACAAACCAAAAACCTGGACAGCAGAGGCAACATAGTTGAGGTAAATTCTAACCCATCTCCATTCAGCAAGGAGTAAATGGAAGCACTACAGAAAATTCTCCAGCAAACAATTGGTACAGCTACAGTGGCACAAAAAGGTAATTTCTTGCATGCTTTAAATACTAGCAAAGGAAAACTAAAGTCATGGATCATTGACTCAGGAGCCTCAGATCACATGACTGGAGACTTAACTGTGTTTAAAAGCTATTCTCCATGCCTAAATAATTACACAGTTCGAATAGCTGATGGGACTCTTTCTAAGGTCATGGGTAAAGGTTCAGTTATTATCTCACAAAATATTACCCTGAATTCAGTCCTTTATGTGCCTAAACTTGACTGTAATTTGTTGTCCATTAGCAAAGAGATTTGAAGTGTGTCACTAAATTCTTTCCTAACCTATGTGAATTTCAGATTTTGGAGTCGGGGAAGATGATTGGCAATGCTGAAGAATGTGCTGGACTCTTCCTCCTCCAAGTTGAAGAGTCAAAAGCGAAACCCAAGGCTAACTCTTGTGCAACTGTACCTCTAAATAGAAAAAATTCTGTAATGTTGTGGCATTATCGGCTAGGCCACCCAAATTTTATGTACTTGAAAAAAATGTTTCCCACATTATTCAATAAAAATCAAGAGTTGTTTCAATGTAAAATATGCCAATTGTCCAAACATACTCGTAACTCCTACCCGCCTCAACCCTATAAACCTTCTCAACCTTTCTCCCTAATTCACAGTGATATATGGGGACCATCACGAGTAAACAATGTCACTGGATCAAGATGGTTTGTCACCTTCATTGACGATCACACACGGGTCACTTGGGTTTTCCTAATGAAGGAGAAATCAGAAGTTGGCAGAATATTTGAGTTGTTTCATACTATGGTGGAAACACAATTTCAAAGCAAAATTAAGGTGCTTAGAAGTGACAACGGCCGAGAGTATTATCACTCTGCACTAAATTCCTACCTTCAGAAACATGGAATCATACATCAGAGTTCATGTGTAGATACACCTCAGCAGAACGGAGTCGCCGAAAGAAAGAATAGACATCTCCTAGAAGTGACCAGATCTCTCATGTTAGCTACAAATGTACCCAACCAATTTTGGGGAGAAGCTGTCCTCTCTGCAACCTACCTTATAAACAGAATGCCCTCTCGAATCCTCAACTTTAACACCCCTTATTCTACTCTCCAAACCTCATACCCTACGAGTCGTATCCTTACATCTACTCCTTTGAAAATATTCGGATTGTCAGCCTTCATCCACAACCTCAATCCTCGTCACAACAAACTTGACCCAAAATCCATCAAATGCATCTTTATCGGCTACTCCCCCCACCAAAAGGGGTACAAATGCTATTCACCCCAAAACGGGAAATTTTACCACACCACCGATGTCACCTTTTTTGAGAATCAGCCTTATTACCCCAAAGTTGGCATTCAGGGGGAGCAGACTTATCCAATTGAAGTGGTAGAATCTCAACTTTTGGGATTTGAGCTAGCTAAATTTGTCCCAAATACAGAGCCAACCAATACTGCACCTACACAAGAGGAAATTACAGTAGAAAATGCAGAAAATGCAACAGAATTTTTGGGATTTGAGCTAACCGAATTTGCCCCAAATGCAGAACCAGCCGAGACTGCACCTGTAGAAGAAACTGAACAGGAAAATGCAGTAGAAATCACACCAGCTGAAGCTAGAGAGAGAATTGCATCTCAACAGAATCAAAGCTCAGCCACACAAGGAGACAACTGGATGACATACTTCAGGAAGAGAAGGAAGGGAGTAGAGTCCAGCACAGATCCAAGGCGAAGCCATGAATCCAACCAAACTCCAGAAAATGAGTTTTCCCAAGGTAATATCGTTCCTAATCCTAAACCTATTGATGACATTGACATTCCTATTGCCTTAAGAAAAGGGGTGAGATCTTGCACTCAACACCCCATTGAGAAATATGTGTCCTATGGAAAATTGTCAAAGGGGTATAGGTCTTTTGTGGCAGCTCTTGACAGCACAAATATCCCAAGGAATGTTCAATAAGCACTCCAACAACCCGAATGGGCAGCAGCTGTAACAGAAGAAGTCCAAGCCTTGGTTAAAAATGGCACGTGGAAAATCACCACTCTACCGGAAGGAAAGAAATCAATTGGATGCAAGTGGATATTCTCCATCAAATACAATGCCGATGGTAGTATAAATCGGTACAAAGCTCGACTGGTGGCAAAAGGGTTTACCCAATCATATGGAGTGGACTACGAAGAGACTTTTAAAAATAAATATTGGTATAAAGAATAAGAAGTTTTACAAATTCACGTTTGTGTATAACACGGGCTTCTTATGCCAAGTATTTGCACAAAACAGTTAGCGAACCATCACGCTTTACTTTTACTAAACTAATAATATAAAATGGTTAAAAAAATCTGTGGGCATTGTAAATTCACGTCTTCAAACAAGGGATTCACAATCACAACAGGAATATCGACATGAAACCGCTCATTGCCATCATCGTACAGCGAAGGAGTTGTCTTGCTTCATCTTTAAGAGATTGCTTTCAATGTTACGCAGCACTGGCCTATAGCTGAAATATTGTTGACCACATTAATGAAAGAGCATCTCATATAAGCAACTAAACTCTAGAATGAGTGAATGTGTGTGCTTTGATACAGGGAAAAAACAGAGAGAGGATCATACAAGCGTGCAAGACCATCATATGCTTGTTTGAGTTGTTCAAGTTGAGCAGAAAGCTGCAAGACTTCTGCTGATAGTGTCTCCGCTCTGCTTTGTTGTTTCACAAGTTGGCCCTGCCAAGCAAATAGAAAGGTGCAAAATTTCAAAGTATGAACGACCAATTGTCAAAGCATAGAGAACACAGAGACCTCAACCAAAAACAAAGCCCCGAAATTTTCTCACAATTATCAGAAAATTCTGGATAGACAACTCATTTTAAAAGTGAACATTTTGAGTCATAGGATTAGCAGATTAGGACCCAACAAGTCAATGACATAAACTGACAATAAGACGAACTAATATGCCATGAGTATGTTACTAACCTTCATAGATGTCATTTCTTCTGTTGATGCCAGCGAAGCAATCTCATGTGCCCCATTTTTAGAAGAGTCAGGCAAGGCCCTAGCCTGTTCCATTCTCAATTTATCTAGAATCCCACGAAGCTCTTCATTTTGCTTAAGACACTCCATCACCTGAAGAATCAAACGTCAACACAATTCTTCAGTCTGGAACTATCATGTTTGATCATAAAATTATAATGACCCCCTCCCCCCTAAAGAAAAAACTCAACACAGCACAGATGACAGATGTTAAAATAAATTAATTCGACAGCACTAATATAGTACTAAAATTTATCTAACCACCATGCCAATTGGGGCTAATGTTGAATGCACAGGAAAAAAGTACTCGATGCAAGAGAAAAGAAATCACCTCTCATTGTCCAGCTGTATAAGAAAAGATTTAAATATTTTTTTGATCTCTAAATAAGATTAAATTTAACCTCTATACATCTAGTCATGTTGTGTATATGACCATTCTAATGCTTATTGCTGACAAGACATTAAGCGATGATAGGAATCATTTGAAAAAATTGTAAATATTAAAACCAACATTTTTTTAGGACTAAAACCAAATTAATTTATATTTATAGGGACTAAAAATATATTTTACTCTATACAAAAATGAAATTAATTTACCATCTATAATAATATATATGATTAGCATACTTAAAAAACCAAAAGAGGATGTCACAAATGGCCAAGTGAAACAACACATAAGAATATTCAGCCCTACACATGAAATAATTGGCAAAACAGTACACTCTGGTTTTATTTATATGAGCCTTCACCAAATTTCTCTTACATGTGCCAGAGAACAAATTCTTGATCAGATACGTTCACTGAATTTCATTAGTTAAAAAGATGCACAGATTCTTAAATATGAAAATTTTAGAAGACAAATTCAGTAAACTGAGGTCATACAAATGAGACCTTAAACAGTTAAACCAGTGGCCATAACTTATAGTTTAGTCGAACCCCTGAAGATTGTTACCTGGTTTTCCCATCTCACTGCTGCTGCAATTGCCTCTTGGTATGAATTTGAGAGATTAGAGTTTTCCTCAAAAAGCCTCTCTATTTCTGTAGACTGTGAGTCAATCTGCCAACAAGATGACAAACCAATCACTCCATCAGATGGAATATAGACAGCGAAGGTTTTGTTTTTTTACACGAGAATATACACAACAAAGTACCATGTAAAATTTACTTATTTAGCTGTCGTGAGTTTACCTCCATTAGAAGCTTCTGCCTACTGCTTTCCAACCTCTCAACAACTAAAGCCATATCATGCAACTGCCTATCAAGTTTCTGTTTGTCTTCCTGGGACTAAAAAAATCCAAACAACATTAAACCAAAGCAACATATATACTAGTTTGCAAATGGAGTTGGGGTTAATAATTAAAGTCATTTATCATAAGCTGCCTAAACATCCATGCTGCATAATTATAAGAGAGTTGGGAATTACAAATGAAAATCATTTCAGACTTGCTTGGTATATTGAAAATATGGGAATGTTGAAAAAAAAGTGCAGCTCATGTACAATCTAGTCCACAAATTTCGACCATTACTTTTATACTTAAAGAATTGAAAGTGATTTCCATCCACAATAATATGAGCAGTAAAAATCCAAACCTTCCTATAATCCTATCTAACTTCGTAATAATATGATTTCTGCCTTTTCAATCATGCATAACCAAAGCTAGACAACAGAAAACACAGATACTAGTAATTTTGTTGATAAATGAAATAGTAACTTAAACTTCTTGCCATGATTGATTAGCTAACAGATAACAAAAATTGAATATTCACTGAATAATTCATATAAAAGAAGTTTTTCTCACCAAAGAAAATGCTTTGGTAGCAGCTTTATCTGAGACTTCTGCACATGTACAAACCAAGGTCAATGCTTGTTATTGTACACCAATTTAACAAGAAGAAATATCAAGTCAAATGCATGTGAATTGGTATTAAATAGAGTTCATAAACACCCTTGCTACAAAATAGGCACTTGTAAATACTATTTAGAATTCATGGCATAAAAAGATGGGCAGATGTAAATCTACATTAATTATTAATTAAAGACAAAAAACAGTTATAGGAAACCATTCCTGGTAATTAAAAGATGTGCATTTCATGAGGAGAACATGCAGGTCCAGGTAGTAATTATTAACTAACAGTTGAAAAACAGAATGCTTCCACCATTCTCTTCTGTAAATTTGAAGAGCATAAATTCATGGATATGCTATTGAGATTCAAGGACAGTATAAAGCACCAAAGAAGTGCAACTGCTCATATAATGGACTGGTGGCATGCTTTGTTTCATTAAGCCTTTACAGATTTAATATAGATTATACAAAAGTTTTCATGAGTGGAACCTGAAGACTCTCTAGAGATGGACTTTAGTTTCTCTTCCAACTCCTGCTTTTCAGACATCAGTGAGGCAATGTGAGCTTGCTCCTTTGCTAATTGTTCCTGCTCCTGGTGCCTCAATAGTGATTCTCGCTATAAATTTTAATCACCATCAAACAAACAGCAGAAAAAGAAATTAAAGAAAAGATGCCAAAATGTCAATAACATAATCATAACACCACCTGCATTTGAAGTTTTAACTCATCTAGCTCCTTTTGTAATCTTTGAATTTGAAAATGATCTGGTGGGTTACCAAATGATGAAATTGTGCTAACTGTATTAGTCATTGCTTGTTGCTGAATTGAGTTCAATTCCGCTCTCAACGCTGCTGCATCTTCCTCAGCCTAGACCAATATAGCCAATAATATTCTAAGTAAGAACAAAAAATCATCCTTCATCACATAGTGTGTTTTAGTAAAATCAAGTTCCCATACACGATATTGCTCATCTTCTGCTTCCTTAAGACGTTTCTTCAAGGTACGAAGCTGTGCTGAAAGATCCTCCTGCACTAATATGTAAGGTCTAATAGAAATTTGAAAGATTTAAAACAAGGTAAAACCAGGAGACAGGAATAAATGTTTGAGAATAATTACACGTGCAACAACTGCAGCATCTTTCTCCATTGCGACATCCTTCAGAGCTTTCCTTAGAGATGGCACTGTATGTTGCTCCTGCATGAATCGAGCTAGGGTTTAATACTAGGATTTATAAATTTCAAAACTAATCCAATTCCAATCTCCATGCACAAAGTGCTTTAGTAATTTGCACTAAACTAACTGTGTTGAAGCTAACTCTGGGTTCATTTGTTCATGAGATCATATATTTCTTCATTAACAAATTTATAACTCGAAACTAAAAAATAATTCATTGTCAATCATTTTTGCTTACCAGATCATTCAACTGCTTGTGCATTGCATTATTATCAATTTCCATCGTTTGAAGCTGCAGTAATAGACAAAAAACACATTCAGCCTATGTTGTTCTGTTTTTTTTTTTTGGTAGACTTATAAACAAATAAATAAATGAACAGCACATGTATATTCAATCTGAATCTTCACCTTTAAAGTTATTTTCATGTTTTCTTCCTCCAACTCCGTGTTCTTCTTCTGTAGAGCTTTCAGTTGAGACAATAGAGCACTAACATCTGTCTGCGAAAATGTATATACACACACAAAAACAACGCGGTTGTAATTCAATCTTCATAAGTTTGCGTCGCTCAAAAATGTGTTCCATATAGATTTCGGTTAGTCTTTGTTTAAAAGACAGTAAAATGAATAAGATGTTACCTCAGTGAATCTATTTCCGATCTCGGACTTGTTCATCGCCGCAATCTCTGAAGGAAAGGAAAAATAGTTTTGAATTGCAGAATAGAAGGCACATAGAAATGGAATAATAATTTATAACTTATATATATATATATACAATAGATAGACAGATTCATTCTGTTGAAAATAATTCTGACCGGAGGTGCTGGGAACCTTGGTGAGATCTGGTCCCGAAGAAGTTTTGCTCAACCTCTCCGCGGCCCTCTTTTGGCGAATTTCCTCTAGCTGTGTATGCGATCAATCATTCAATTCAACAACAACAGAAAAACATACAATGATAATCGAACAAAAACGAAGAAATTGATTGAATCGAGAAGAAAATAAAGAAATGAAAAGAGAACGCAATGAATGGTGATTGAGAGCATTGTACCGTTCGTCGACCGAGAGATGCATGACGCGCCTCCATTGTTTCAGACGGGAAGGGAACGGAATGTTCCTCTGCCAATTCACCTCTCCGCCAAGTAGTTTTGTAATTTTATATTCTCCGATCTATTATAATATGATAAAGATTATTTATGCAATTCAATTAACAAAACAAGTCTGGGTGGTGTAGTTGGTTATCACGCTAGTCTCACACACTAGAGGTCCCCGGTTCGAACCCGGGCTCAGACAAACTTTTTTTTATTATTATTTATTTATATATATTTTATTTGAAAATAGATTACGCTTTACTTTTTCTTTTTAAAAGTTTCATTTTAGTTTTCCTCATTTTACTGTTTGAGACTCAGGTTAAAATATCTTATGTAATGTACAGAAAATTTACTAATAATTTATTTACCTAATTTTAAATGTCATCTGTTCTGTGGTTGTACGAATTTATGTTACAGTTATGATATGATAGACACAAAATTAAGAAAATAATTTTAATAAAGTCATATAATTTAATAATTGTTGGTACAAGAATATTTAATAAGAATTGTAACATATAAAATGCTAAAGCCACTCAATATTGTGATGATATATTACTTAAAAAATGTTGCGAAATTATATAAAAAAATTGCGAATTTTTTTTAACTTCAATATTACACCCAAATAAATTATAGAGTAACCATTATAATATTTCTTTATTAATTAAAAGAAATTCTTCTAACTTAACTAATAAGATTGAGTTTCAGTCCTAATATATAAATGATTTAAATATTCATAGTGATTTGGTAAAAATAAATTTGTCACTGATTGAGGATATGAGTGTTAACATTAAAAATCATGGTGATATATATACTTCTATATAGTATATAAAGAATTTTCGTGTAGACATTTTTTTTTTTTTTTTTACATTTTGATTCACATAACTACTTATTAAATATAAAATGACGATGATGATGCATTAATGTTTAATACTTTAATCTATTTAAAAAATTCCTCTTTTTTTTTAGAGGAAAAAAAAAATCCTCTTTTGTTTCGTTTTGTAAATGATTGATATGGTTGGGCTTTAGTAATCATGGTCCAATTTTAGAAGTAAAAAAAAAAAAAAAAGCCCGTCTGAGAAGGCGTGGATCCAAGCCCTTGCTCACAGAAAACAGTGTAATGAAAACAAGTTCAAAATGAAAACGGTATATGTTACTTTTTGATTGATTCGGTGGTTACTAGCAAGGAGAACGAAGATGAAGAAGGAAGATACGGTGAAGCTGATCAGTGCCGAGGGTTTCGAATTCGTGGTCGACAAAGAAGCTGCAATGGTTTCACAGACCATACATAACATGCTTACTTCTCCAGGTTCCATATTTTATTAAATTACCCCTTTTCACTGCAATTAGGGTTCCAAGTTTCAAATTATAAAAGCAATTTCCTTGATAGGGAGTTTCGCCGAGAGGCAGCACGGCGAAGTTACCTTTCCCGAGATCAGCACCACCATTCTTGAGAAGATTTGCCAGTACTTTTATTGGCATCTCCAATTCGCCAGGTTTTCCTTTTTCTCCTCGCCGTTCAAACATTGCTATATACCATGTTGTCTTTTTTATTTCTCAGTTTGTTAGCCATGTGTTTGTGTAATTGAATTTGAATTATGATGTATCAAAAGCTTTAGCCTTTAGATGTATCGGTGTATATTCGTAATAGATTGTATTGTGGGCAACCTTTAACTTGAAGTGCAATCGTAATGTTAGCGTATTTTTGTCTCAAACGTTATGAGTAATGGATCCGCTTCAATTCTGTTTACTACCAATTTGTTTCCATATCGATCCATGATTGATGAGTTTAGCGATCGAAAATGTCAGCGCGTGGTTCTCAGTGAAATAGAATTTGCCTGAGCAATGAAATACAGAGTGATAACATCTCCTTGATCAGACCACCTAACTTGTGATACGAGGATCTAGTATTCATCATGTTCAACAACCTTGCTGCTAGTTAGTGTTTGCATAAACAATGCGCGTTCCATTCAATTTTTATTTGTGCATGTCATTTTGTGTAAGCACAAAAGATAAGATCGTTCGGAACAGGGAGGTAGAGGATTCTTGTTAGTTTGTTGAAATATTTGATACAGCAAAGTTATATTAGATTTTGCTTTGATGTTAAAGAATAAAAGTGTTCTTTTATATCGTTTGTTATTTATGTTATCGAGCATGAGCTTTTGTGCAATTTAGTAATCCATCCAAGAGATATGGTTTTACATGATTTGATGTAACACGTGATCAGGACAGGACTTGTTTCACAACATAATATATTATCTCAAGTCTATTATAGACCTTTCATTGTACACAATTCTTTTACTATCTTTCATTCCTTTATCATACAATCTATCTTTATTCATCTCTGCATTCCCGCTTTCTGTATGGTATAGCTGCATGTTTTAAGTTTCTTCTGTATCCCTTACACACGTACTAAATTTATGGTTTTTGATAGTTTTTGCTTTAAATATTGTGGTAAGGGGGGAAGCTAACAAACTCTGCCTTCGTGTTAATTCTCAATATGGAAATTTGGTTAGATAGAGCTTTTTGGGTGTCTTTTTACACTTTCATGCTTTATTTTATTAGAATTTAAAACTGTCTTAAGCTTGTGAGAATACCAAAGACCTGCTGTTATACTGGTGAAAGGTTGTGGTTTGGACCATTTGTGGAATTACAGTTGTATGAACAATTTAATATTTGATTCTTGGCCTTTTATTCCCCATCTGTAGTTCCTCTCTTTTGGTTCTCCTACTACTGTCATAATCATACAGAAAGAAACTTGTCCCCAATTCTTGTATGGATTATTGTTTCTGTTCTGAGGGTTTTATGTACAGGAAAAGTGATGAAGGAGTTGATTATAGCAACTAAAATATTGATGGACTAATTTGAGTAAAAAATTATTGAGGGACCAAAATTGCACATATTAATTATTATGGAAAGACTAAAAAGTAATTAATATTTTGATGCAGTGCTCTACATTTTCATCTTTGCTCCTCGGTGCATTTCTTTTTGTAATATTTTGCCGTAGATTCCCATGGTGGGAGTTGCATGAATGATAACGTTTTATGTGTTGGAAATAATAGTTCCGTTTGAGAAGTAATTAAGCTTTGCAGCTTTGATATGAAATTTCTCGTTTTATGTCATGCTAATTCTATCAAAATAGTTGTATTGACATGAGTATATTGCTCTTACCAGTGGGAAGGAGACGGAATTTCCCATTGAACCTGAATTAACTCTGGAGCTAATGATGGCTGCCAATTACCTCCACACATAAGCACTTTCACTTCCCCAGGGTGATGATTCTACGTCCTAATTGTAAGCCTTTATTATTCTCCTGGAGTCTAATAAGTTATAGTAGTTGTTTTTTGCCGTTGTAACATTTACTGTATATTGTGTCGTTCATGCAGACGGAATGGAACTATTGCACAGTTAGGCTTTCATAGGGTAATGAGCGTATTATTGTTGCCATTGGGAATTGTGTGCTTGCTGGAACTAAGTATATATGCAATTTGTTAATGATTGTTAGACTCAGCTTGCAGGCGTCTGATGTACGAGGGTCTGTAAGATGTCGTCAGTTGATGTTGTTGTATAAACTAATAGCTGATTAAGAAAAATGCTAATTCAATGGAAACATTAGTACATTACCATCTTCCAAGAAGATAAATCATAATGCTCGTGTAATGTCCATTAGATCAATATCCAAACAAGGAAAAGAAATTCGCTTTTCGCATAACAAATTGACAATCTTCTGATGAACATTACTTTGCCTTTGTTTTCTACGACAAAAGCATCGTACGGTTGATTATGAAATGGAATTCATCTCACTTTATTATGTTCTTAAATTTTTACGTATTTTCGTGATATAGAAATAAAGGTAAGTTGAAAAAAACACGCATATAAAATCTTTAATTTGTCCTAAATGAACATAAGAACTTTGCAGTGATTGAACTATCATTTTCCTTTCTTATTTTCACTGTTGTCTAAACTTCCAAGCATGATATCGACAGCAGTTTGAAGAAAAGGTAATATACATCACTGAAAATTCGCAATGTCTTGAACTATTGTGTCTGGGTTACATTACTGCATATAGAGATTGATTTAGATGAGTTCAGACTTTGAAACTAGTTTTTGTTTTAATTTTGCACCAGTGTCTTAGATTAATCTGGCTTGGTGAAGAGGTAATTTAGAATTGTTTTCATCAAATATTGAACACTTTGAAAGTAGTTTCAATGTGTTTTTAAGATAGTTATGTTTTTAGACGGTTCAAATCTGGTTCAATATTTTCAATTTTCTTTAAGAAAAAGTATAAGTTTTTTAAAATTATTTTGCATTAATAATTGTAATAATAATTTATTAATATTTTTATAAAATAATATTATATTTATAATACAATTATTTACTTTAAAATATATATTGTATAAAATACATTCATTTGAATTTTGTATAATCTTGGTTGGGTCAAATTTAGTTTTTAAAATATTAACCTATAAAAAATTCGGGAGTAAAAGCAAGAATAAACATGCTCAATAAGCGATAATAAACCTGCTCAATATAGGTTCTCAAATATTATCCTCTTCCATATAATTTTTAAAGTAATAAAATTATATAATATTCTTTCATGTATCGAATATTTATCAATTTAGTCCTCTAAATTGATATATTTAACATTTAGAGACCGATTTCATAAAATTTTCAATTTTGTGAATTATTTATTGTAATTTCTAATACTTGAGGGATTCTTTTATATAATTTTCTTTCTTAAAAGACTAACTAAAAAAAGAGTAATATTTAGGTGAATAAGGATTATTCTGTTCCTCGTCGATACCTACGTATAATTCACCAAATAAAAAATATATATATTTGCTAAAAGTAATATTTTAATAACAATCATCAATCACCATTTTGGACAAAACTTACAAATACCCGTTTTTGTCCGATCCTTAATTAGAAGTTCTTTAATCAGAAATGAGAAAATTATGCACCGAGTAAATACGCAATTCAATCTTGTGGAGCCCTTTACAGTTCAGATGAGATCATATTAGAACTAGATTGTAAAAAATTCGTGTCAGATTTAATTTAGATGCAATCACATCGTAGTGTTTCACAAGTTGGGCTAATGTGCTTAGATAGGGTACCGTGCAAGTAGCAGCATTACGAAAAGTAGACTTTCTTGGTTGTTGCTTGCTGCCTACGGAAAACTCGAAAAGCTTGTCGCCTAGGCTTAACTACGATCCGTGCCTTAAGAATTAAGATATCATATATGAAACCATGTGCGTGGACAGTAGTAGTTAGTTAATGATTAATTTGTTTGAATAAAGAAAAATACTGATGGCTAAACAATAAGCTTACCCTTCTTTTCTTCCCCCCTTGCACCCCCTCTATCTGATTTTTTTTACTAATTTTTAATCATACCGCTATGGTTGGTATTCACAGAAATGATCCTCATGCTTCGCACTTGATATGCAAACAAAAAGTCTCTCATATGCAGCAACCATCTTCGTGGCAGTGAACAATTGCAAACCTCTTTGCATGGCAACTTGACCTTTCTTCTCTAGAACTTCCCTCCCACCAACCCATAACTCATATATTGCCTTCTTTAGAGCACTCACCGTTGGTGAAAATGTATAACCCATTTCATTGCCAACTATTACAGATCCTACAATGCTTGCAAGCCTAGTAGCCATTACTGGCTTCCCAGTCAGCATGGCTTCTAGCAAAGTGTGATCCAAACCTTGTGCTCTTAAAGTGGGGTTTACAAAAATGTCAATAGCATTGTAAAAAGAGGCCAATTCAGCTTGCTCCAATGGCCCCAAAACCAATACACTTGCCCCAAGATCTCTGTATCTTGCACCCCAAGGACCATCTCCAGCAACCACAACCATGCTACTCTCTTGGAAAGTGCTGTTTTCTGCAATTATCTGCTTCAAAGCTTCAAACATCAAAGGGTGCCCCTTGTCCTTCACCAACCTCCCAGCAAGTCCTATCACTAATAATGACTTTGAATCCGGAATGCCATGCCTCTTCTTGAATTCCTTCCCCTTTGGAAAATCTGGCTTGAAAACATCCTGGTCCACACCATTGAGAATAATGTGTACCCTTTCTTCTGGAATCATGTAAACCCTCTTTAGGATATCACCTGCATGATCACTAGTGGGAACATGATGAGCATAATTTGGGAAGAACTTGACCTCTTCAACAACCTTCATGGCTCTTTCATTCAAAGCCTTTGTCTGTGGTTCCTGAGGGCTTCTTAGGAGTTCTTGAATGATGTCAGAATGAATGGTCTCATATGCAATTCCGTGCCAAGTGACAGCCAAATTAGTAACATGTCTAGATCGTGTGTACCTAAGTCCAACACTCTCAGTGTGAACAATGTCAAATGGTTTGCTACTTGAGTTTTGTGCTTGAAATTGCTCCCAAACTGAGGCCTGGTCAAGGTAGCCCGCAGGTGTTGGTTTGGAGAAGTGAAAATGCACGTTGTTAGTTGAATAGTTGGTGAAAGATGAGTTTGTGGAAGTGGTGAATATGTGAAGTTCATGGCCTCTTTTGGCAAGGGCAAGGTGGAGTGTGAGAGCATGGCGTTCAAGTCCACCTGCATGAGACTTTTGTGGCCATTTCTTGACAAAAAGTGCAATCTTAAGGAGTTTTGAAGGTGGCTCCGAGGAAAACATAAGGCGGTTCCATGCAAAAGGATATGAAAGGAGGTTTATTGGTTGGTTTTGCTTTTGTGCTATTACTTGGTACGCTGCATGGCACTGGCTGCAACAATGACTCCAAGAGAGAGATATGATGACAGAACAGAAGGAAAGGATGATAATAACGTAGCAGAAATGTTGAAAACTGAATATAGAAAGTCGATCCTTTGCCATGGACATTTGATCTGAGGAAAGGGGTGTTAATTATTAGGTGAAAAAGAGTCATGATTTGCATGATTAGTTTTAAGCACGAGCATGGGGACATGAAAGTAGAAATGAAGAAACCTATCACATGGTGACTAGGCATCAGCAAAAATAAGATCGTCGTAGACTTCTGATAATTTAGTGATGTGTATAATTAGGCTTGCTTGAACGGCAATGTTGCTTTTCAAAAAGTAACTGGAACAAACCAATTTTCAGCACTGTTTATTATTGCTGCCTCGTGTTTTATCATCTTTTAATATTCATAAAATGACATTTTGTATACAGTTGAATATTTAATGAATAAAATATGTTCATAATAATCCTATTAGTAGGATTTTGAGTGTTGTTATACTTCTTGGTCTCCTTAATCTTGAACCATGTTTAAAATCTTGAAAAGCCTTCGCGTGTGGGTAAGCATTAAAAAAACTAATCATAGAAATGGATATTTTGTTCGGTAATTATCACAACCGACATTTCATTTATGCGTCAAAGTGTTTATAGATAATCACACTGTTCTTCTTCCACCACGAGCAACCATCATCGTTGATTTCAAAAGATCCTTCAACTTAATTGCTCCAATAATATGGACTCACTCATACTGTCCTAAACTTCATTCTTCTTAACACTTTAAATTATTTAACAAATTAAGAATACATATTTTATTTACCATTTTGTTTTAATAAACTTTTAAAAAATATATTTGTTTTTACTTATTTTCCTATATTCATGATAAGGAACATAAAACCAAACAAAAATAAAATGTATAAAATAATGGCATTTTTCTGGTCCGTGTGTGTGATTCATGGGTACTATTAGACTTATAAAGAAACCGTGAGAAACATTTTTGTAAATAATATAAATAGAGTTGAGTCTGGTCAGCTTAACGATGACTCGAATAGTAGGTGTGACTCACGGTCTATGGCCTATTCTAATGTTCATTCTTCCAACTTGCCCAACTTACACTCTAAATTTACCTACCCTGAATACAACAATTTCTACCCTATAGTTGTGTTGCCATTCCTATCAAGTGTGCTTGTCCCTCTAGAGTAGTTATGCTACCATTTTGATTTTTGACAATAAACCTACGTATTGTATTTGCAAATTTCCAAACCCCCTTCCCTTTTTTCCATTTGAAGACAACATCACGTCCTTCTCACGTTCTTGTTAAACAAAAATTTAAACTATATACTCTGTATTTTCTTTAAAATTTTGAAGAATTAAAGATTGTCTAATTCTAGGTTAGTCGTTTTGACTGTTGTCGTCCAAAAAAAAATCACTAAATAGTTGCAAAACAAGGTTTTTTACTTTTTGTTCAACGACATTTTATCCAACTTGTTTTAGCGCAGGTAGTTGGCTGTGTGGATGGTTTTGCCCTGATCATTGATTGAAAGTGTTTTTATTTTTATTTTTATTTCTTTTTAGTTTGATTAGACATGAGTCATTAAGTGATCCTCTTGACTTTATGGAGTAGGAATACCAAATTTAGTAGCTAACAAATGAAAAATAGAAACAAATTATTGGAGCTAATTAATAGCTTACCTGTGTGGCATGGTTACAAGTTAGAAAGTAAGAGATGAATTTGTATGGGAATTTGGAAATTATGAAGTGGTTGTTAGATACGTAGTAATTCGTGACAAATAAAGTGAATAAAAATGGAAGTTATAGTAAGTGGATTCCAACAAATGGCAGTTGAGTTGTAGAGATAGGTAAATGACAATGTATGGTCCAACTACTTAACCGAACTCTGCGCATAAAATGGCTCCCTAACAGGGCCCACCCTCCGAAGAACTTGTTGGGCTTTCATTTAAGGCCCTCTCTCCTTCTGATCCATTTGCTTATTAGTTATTAGTTATTAGTTGTTACCACCCCAGATTACTTGTCTATTCTCTTCTCACTTCTCATGGCTGTTGTTGACCTACACACTCACTTTCTCCCCGACGACGACGATTTCCTCGCCGAGTTAACTCACCGCGTGGCTCGCTTCCTGCTTCCAGACGACGACACACCCATTGCCTCTCACCATCTCCAATCGGTACCTTTTTATCACCAATATATATTCACTAATTACTACTATACTTACTTTAATTAATTAATTAATTATCTTTATTCTCCTGAAGCCATGTGAGGGGAGTTCGGAAGGTTCATCTCAGGAACCATCCTCGCCGGCAACTCCTGAAGAGCGTTGTTGGAAGAGCAGCCACGTGCACGACGTGTTTGAGAACACGAAGCTCAACGAAAGAGGAAATTCCGATTCCAAACACCTCCTTGGTCACGAGATTAATAACCACGCCTCCAATATTGGACTCTATTCCCACCACTCCCTC